GGGATGGGGATACGAACCCGCGACCCGCAGATTGCGAGTCGAGCTTCCTAACCACCTGGCCATGCCGGGCCAATGGAGAAGGTCATGGATGGCCTAATTAAGGAAAGGATGGTCGAGAAATCAGATTGTTCCTGGTCATCTTCCATTGTGTTAGTCCAGAAGAAGGATGGGACCCAACGTTGCTGTGTGGACTTCAGGGTTCTTAACAGTATAACCGAAAAGGACTCATACCCACTGCCAAGAATTGTTAATACTCTTGATGCCCTAAGTGGAGCCAGGTGGTTTTCAACTCAGGACTTAAAGTCGGGTTTCCATCAAATGAAAATGGCTGAAGCAGATAAACCTAAGACTGCATTTAGTTATGGCCAAGGTCTCTGGCAATAGTGTGTGATGGCATTCGGGCTTAGCAATGCTCCAGCAACATTTGAGAGGCTGATGGAAAAAGTACTGGAAGGCCTCCAATAGACGATAGCTCTAGTGTACCTGGATGATTTCATTGTGTTTGCAGTAACTTTTGATGAGGAAATTTCCCGGCTAGAGGAAGTATTCAAGCACTTGAAAGCAGCAAACCTCAAACTCCATCCCAAAAAATGCCACTTGTTCCAGAAAGAGGTGCTTTACTTAGGTCACATTGTAAGTGAACATGGTGTGCAAACTGATCCTGACAAGGTGAAAGCAGAGCGTGATTGGCCAACACCAGACAATGTGGGAGAGTTAAGAAGTTTCTTGGGGCTCTGTACATTTGTGTGGTGATGGATTATTTCACCAAGTGGCCTGAGGCGTATGCAATACCAAATCAGGAAGCTACAACAGTAGCTTCGGCTATTAGTGATTTCTTCTTCAGGTTTGGTATGCCATACGAACTGCATTCTGATCAAGGCCGTAACTTTGAATCAGTTGTGTTCCATGAATGCTGCAAGTTGTTTGGCATACGAAAGACCAGGACAACGCCACTTCACTCACAATCTGATGGAATGGTAGAAAAGTAGAACTGGACACTGGGACAGGAATTGGCAATGTTTTGTAATAGCCGCCAAGATGACTGGGATGCCTTACTCCCTCCACTGTTGCTTGCCTATAGAACAGCAGA